ATAAAGAAATGAAACAACAGTATTTTTCGTACTTTTATTCATTGATTGATAAGGAGGCAAAAGTTTCCCCTCTGCTTTTATGTAAGGGCTTGGGACCTTCAAATACAAAGAGCAAGTATTTGACAACATATTATGTTATTGTGTGTTAAATTAGAGAATAATACACAACAAAAATTGTTGCTCTTTGAATTTGGCAGCATTAGAAACTTTTGATAGTTGTACAGTTACTGGACATAAATTCTGCAAAATCAATTCCAAATCTAGATTGCATTATTTCCATCATGGGTATTACAGACACACTGTATACCCCATTTTAAAGTGTTTTATTACACTTCCTAGTAACTGGTGCACAGCGCAGCAGAACCGAATTACCGCACCTCACGAACATGGCACTCGATGGCCATATTCTTTGGTAAATTCGGTCACATGCACAAATATTTTCTTCAATCTGGGTGGGTTGCACTTGGAGCACACATCGACTGAAGTTCTCAGCTTATACAAATTGGTCTTCCCTTTTTGTTAGGGGAGCAATTCAGCAGGCTGCTGGCTGCAGCTTGCCGCTCTAGTTTCTTTGATGTCCTGTTATATAGTACGGCAGCTTAGGGCCATATTTGGACTTAATGTGGACGTTCCGGACAAAAGCACCAATTTTTTTTTACATGCTCCTTATGGTCATAGCATTCAATTTTTGGTAGGAACCACCTCATCCGAGGTCATTATGGCGGCCATCTTGGATTTCAAAATGGCCGCCTAATAAAACCTATGTTTATCTATATCTCCGCTTCTAAACCACTTGGAATTATAATTCTAATGTCTAAGAGTATGTTTATATGATCGAGGAATACCATCATATCATTTTTGACCTGGTCAGAATGCCACAAATGGGTCATGTAAGGTCATTCAAGGTCAAATATTGTATGGTATCTTTAAAATTACGTAATTGTCAAATTTTACATTAGAATCATACCCAGGCTCTCAGAATTCAAACATTTTACTATGAACTACAATATTTTATTCGAGGTCATTCTGGCAGCCATCTTAAATTTCAAAATGGCTGCCACGCAAAACCCATATTTATCAATATATCGGCTTTTAAACAACTTCCAATAAGAATTATGATGTCTAAAAATATATTTTCATGGTCAAGGATTTATAGCACTTGTGACATGGTCAGATGGTCATTTAAAGTCATTCAATTCAATTTCATTTTTCTGTTAAATACGTAGAATATCTTAATAATTTGTAAGTGGTCGTGTTTTACAGCAAAATCATACATAAGCTCACAAAATTCAATT